ACCCGGCGGGCGGGACCAGACGCCTGGCACCGCAGCGCGCTCCGACCCGGGACGCGGGCATCTGGGGATCGATCGCCAGGGCCCGGCCGCCCCGCTGCCCCCCGCTCGTCCCCCCTGCCTCTGCCCACCCCGCCAGGGAGGGACGGAGGGCCATGCCTGCCCGGACACTCGCCCCGATCTGGTGCCTCTCGGCCGCTCTGGGGATGCTGTGGTCCCCGGCCTCACGGGCGTTCAACCTGGACGTGGACAAACTCACGGTGTACAGCGGCCCCCGGGGCAGCTACTTCGGTTACGCCCTGGACTTCCACATCCCCGACACCCGCACGTAAGTGGCTGACCTGGGGCGGGGCGGGGGGGGGGGCGGAGGGCTCGAACCCCTCGCTGGTCAGCAGCACAGGTCCCCCCCCCCACCAAGCCTGTGTGTCTGAGATCTCCATCTCTCTTGTCCTGCATGCAAGATGTGCCTCGTGAACTTTGAACTCGAGACCTCTCCACTTGCACCGGGGTCCTGGGTTCAAAGACAATTTGCCTTGCACAAAGACCTGGGGTACACCCCCCCCCCGCCCCATCCTCCAGCCAGCCAGTCACCGGAACGACCACAGCATGGTCTGTGTATAGATCCAAGTGTCCCATGCGCAAGTGCCTTTGGTGACCAGCAGGGCTATGCTCCTCTTCCTCTAATCTCGGCTTTCCTTGCGCCCACCTCACTCCACCCAGACGAGAAGGGGGGGCAGGTTGGCACCCTCTTCCAAAGGTAGGCTTGCCCACAGATTTCCAGGAGGAAATCGAATGTGACAGCCTCTCCCGTTCTAGGGGCGTTCCTGCCCTCTACCCGCCCCCCCCCCTCCCAGCCTGGCCCCAGGGCTGAGTGCTCCAAACCTCATCCAGGCTGGCTGACCTTTGCCAACCTTTTCCAGGGCCAGCATCTTGGTGGGCGCGCCCAGGGCCAACACCAGCCAGCCAGATATCGTGGAGGGGGGAGCCGTGTACTACTGCCCGTGGCCCCTGGCCGGGTCTGCGCCTTGCAAACAGATTCCGTTTGACACCACCAGTAAGTGTTGCTTGTCATTGGGGGGCTGAGGGTGGGGAGAGGGTGTTGTGGTTTGAAAGCACTCCAGCTACCCCAGGGACAGGGGTCCATTTTTTTTTCTTTGTGTTCATTTTGCCTGTCTGCCTGTTCCATCCTTCTTGGTGGGCCGTGCGAGGTCCAGAGCGAAATCAGTTGCTTCCAATGGGTAGTGAATCCAGAGAAGAAAACATTTCTATCAACTCCTGATTGTCTGGATTGCTTCTGGCAACTTCTAGTTTTCTTACTGTCAGAAGTGAGCATTTTCAGGGCGAATGCATGTGTCAGAGAAATTCAAAAGGTACATCCTAAGCTTGGCTGTGGAGAGAATCGGATGGTTTTCCCAAGGGCAAACCTGGGAAAGGATAGATTTTTTAAAAGTGTTTCAAGTTTCCATACTCCGGAGGCAAGACTTAGCTGTAGACAACCCAGACAGCACTCTCTGATGCTCTGTAATTCTTTACAGAAAGATTTTTCTTTCAAAATATTGGCCATTGGATGCAAACTAGTACAGGCAGCGTGTGGATGGATTACATTCATCTCCAAAACCCCTAGACAGATGTTTCTTATTTAATTAAAGGGAAAATACATTTTTAAACAATTCAGTCTGGTTACATTTCCTCTGGTGTTTTCTCTTAGGAGTCCTGAGAAAATAAATTTAAATGTAATGCTTTTGAAAACATTGACACCGAATGCTTTAATTTTGTACCACTGAATCTTTAAGCATTCAAATGATAGATATGACAGGACACCAACTATCCTTTTGAACTGTGAATTCGTCAGTTCCATTAAGTCTTTGTTGAACAGTCACTGAAAATACCTCTTGTACCCCATAACTGTTCCATGACATCATTCTTGATTTCTGCCTACATTTGTTATCTTTGTTTTTCATTTTTACTTTTTATTCTTTGAGGGGTTGTACAAGAGGGTTACACTGTAATATGCCCATTTCTGTGCCCAAGTTCTGTATAAGTATTATGACCAAATTAGGAGCCTTTTGTAAATTTTTTAAATTGTGCTTTTTATGCCTATTTATATATGTCCCAAGCCCTTATTTGCCATTTATTTCATGAAGTCATTAAGTTATTCCATCCCATGATTTGTAAGTTCTTATTTTGAAGTTTAAGTTTAGCAACAGAAAAATTATACATTTGGGTTTTTCAAAAATCGTTGAATTAATTGCCTTATTACAGTCAAGTTTCATCTGGTTCCTGATCTCTAGTTTACCTGTACACCTTCGTAAGCCCCAATCTCAGCAGAAGGTTTTGGTTCAATAGATAAAAATCAGACTCCAGACATCAACAAGAATTTTTTAAAAAATTGACTACTCCCAATCACAATTTTCCAATATTCACTAACAATAGCTAATATTTTCCAAAGTCCATTCTACAGCAATTGTTTGGAGTTTTGAATTCACTTTTCCATAAAGAACTAATGCTGAAAGATTACATTGTTGGAGGGCTGAGAAGGTGTCTCAGTGGTAGAGTGCTTGCCTTGCATGCATGAGGCCCTGGGTTCGATTCCTCAGCACCACATAAGCAAAAAGAAAAAAGCCAGAAGTGGTGCTGTGGCTCAAGTGGTAGAGCACTAGCCTTGAGCTGAAGATCTGAGGGACAGTGCCCAGGCCCAGAGTTCAGGCCCCACAACCGGACCCCCCCCCAAAAAAAAAGATTACATTGTTGGTTTCTGGAAGATCCCCCAGGACTGCACTCCATCCTGGCTGTAGCCGAATTATATTTGTAATGAATTGATATGGGATGAACTGGCATAACTTGAGCTATTAAAGAAATCAGAAAATCATGTCAAGCAAAGATTAGCGTGACTTGGATGAAGGTGAAGGCGTATGTGCTTCTGAAAATGCAGCTGGCTGTCTGAAAGGGCTTTGGACAGATGGCTGTGCACGTCTTCTACATGTATAGCACTTTTCTTGATAGGCACAGGCTACTATTACCCTTATCGACCATAATAGTAATCATTTGAAGTGGATACTCAATGGGGTGGAGCAGGTAAAGGGGAAAGGACTGGGCAAATGAACAGAAGAGAGGGAGAATGAAGTCAAGAATCCAGTGCACATCCTACAAATTTAAGAAGAGTGAGGGGAGGGGTAAGGAGGAGAAGGATGGGTGAGAAGGTTGAAGAGGGTGACAGTGATGGAGCTACGTTGAATTCATCAACTGCTTCATTCTGTGGCAACCCCTTTGTACAGCTACTTAAAGATAACAAAAACATTTAAATGATTAAAAAAGCGCCAAAATAGTAATTTGGGGATTCATAAGGGGGACAAAGGGAGAAAAACGAAAGAAATAGATGTTCCTGAAATCATTGCACAGGAGTGGTGTTTGTAGAAACAAGGGCAGATACAGTGAACAAAGTTGGAGGGGAATGAATGAATGGTCCAGCTGGTAGCCAGCAATGAGGGCAGTGTTGTGTGATCTGTCTGAGAAGGCATCCCCACTGAGGAGACAGGAATCATTGAGGAGTTTCCAGCCTCAGCCATAAGGGGGTACTGTGGGCCCAGAAAACTTGGTTGCTGCTGGGAAGGGCTTGGAAATAGGGGAGAAAGGAGTCAGAGGGCCTTGCTCTGGGGCATGCTACTGAGCAGGCACCCTCTGGCTGTGATTGCGCTAGCAGTGTACCCCAACACCATAGAACTGGGTGCAAAGTGTGAAAAAGAAGCCACAGCAGAACTAAGTTGGAGCACCCGCAGTGCTGCAGGCAGAGAGACAACTTGGGAACAAAGTTGCCAGATGGAAACAGACATTGCTGGCTTGTGAGTCCTGTAGTCGATCAGGTCAGGGGTATGACATGAATTGATTACTACAGTCTACCAATCACTTGGCATAGGTTATTTCTCATCTGTAATACAAAATAACTATGAAAACTCATCTTAGGCACAAAGAAACCGACGGTAAACATATGGTCAAGGCTATACAATGGGGGAAACTGATCTAGGTCTCTGCTTACTGCCTACTGATCTTCACCTGCCTATCTTCAGGAAGCAAAGAGAGGTCTAGTCTTCTTGGAATGCGGGTTCTGGAAGCCCTGTTCACCTTCTCTCCCATTCCCCTGTCCTCCTCACCCCACATTTTACCCTACAAATTCCAGTATGAATGCTCCTCTAGAGAAGAGTTGAGGGGGAAGGGTAGGAAGGGCTGCAGAAACCCAGAGTCAAGCAGCAGGGGTAGTCTTGGTGGGAACTGGGGATGGAGTATGGCTGTGATTGGCTCAGCTCTCACTGAAGCTGCACTCAGGGTCCCCAGAGAGCCACCATCTGCTGCCCGTGCCAGCACTGCATTGTCTCTCCACAATAAAGAAAGCTGAGCACGCTGCTGGCTCACACCTGTAATTCTAGCTACTCAGGACACTGAGATCTGGGGACAGAAGTTCAAAGCCAGCCTGGGGAGAAAAGTCCACAAGACCTATTTTTAAAAAGCCATAAGTGGAGCTGTAGATCAAATTGTAGAATGCCCAAACTAAGGGACATTGACCTGAGTTCAAGCCCCAATAATGGAGGAGGAACAAGAGGAGGAGGAGGAGGAGAAGGTCAAGAGGACAAAAAGGAGGAGAGGAGGAAGTGGAGGAGGAGGAGAAGGGAGAAGAAGAGAGGAGGAGGAGGAAAAGGAGGAAGAGAGAAAAAGAGGAAAAGAGAAGAGAAGGAGGGGAAGGAAGAAAAAGAAGGAGGAGGGGAGGGAGGGGGAGGGAAGGAAGGAAGGGAGGAGGGAAGGAAGGAAGAAAGGAAGGAAGGAAGGAAGGAAGGAAGGAAGGAAGGAATGGAGGAAGGGAGGAAGGGAGGGAGGGAGGGAGGGAGGGAGGGGGGAGACTGTGAATCCGTGGATACCCGCAAACTGTGACATGAAGGCACAAGCATATATTATATCACCAGTATTCCTCTGTAGAAGTTTCTGTGACTCACTGTCTTTTCTCCTGTCTACTTTTCCTATCTAGTAAATCCAATGCTTCTTTTTCTTTTTTTTCTTCTTCTGGTGGAGCAGGGATTTGAACTCAGTGCTGTGCACTCACTAGGCAGACAGTGTACTGCTGAGACATGCCTTCACTACCGAAATCCAACCTTTCTACAAAGATATTTTGACTTGTTCAAGCCATGGGATGGGGAATCTATTCAGTTTTCTCAGCTAGACACTGAGGGGAACTGATGTGTAATTTAATCCCTGAATGTGATCTTGCACCTTGATTTATTTCAGGTTTAAACAAATCTGTTCAACAGATACCCATTTTATTGTTGTTGCCATTAAATAGTCATTGTTTTAGCTTTTCTTTATCATGTAACTAGGATTTGAATTTAAAAAAAATTTTTAACAACGGCTCATGATAAGCATAAAAGCAGAGGAAACTTGGGCGACTCCACACTCCAAATGCATGATTACTATTAAACTCCCATCCTTTCAAGTAAAGAAAAAGGGAACTTTGAGGAAGCAGATGGTGGTGGGGGGAAGTGCAAAGAGTAGATAATTCTCTTGCTCTGTACAGTATCAAGTAGGCCCCCCATCCCCTTCTCTCCCTCTGCCTTTCCCCTCTCATTTCAACAGAAGGAAATCTCTCTCATCACCAAATTGATTTCTTCCACTTCAGCTTCAGGAACTCTCTAAACCAAACCCTGCGCCTTAAACAACTTAACACATAACCTCTCAACTGCCAAAGTCACAGCTTGCATTCATACCCACTGCAACTTTATTTATTTATTTTTTAATTCCCCCGGTGGTGGGGCTTGAACTCAGGATCTGGGCATTGTCCCTGAGCCTCTTTGTGTTCAAGGCTAGTGGTCTACCACTTGAGCCACAGTGCCACTTACAGTTTTTGAGTGGGTAATTGGAAAGAAGAGTCCCAAGGGGACTTTTTTGCCAGGGGCTGGCTGCAAACTGTGATCCTCAGATCTCAGCCTCCTGAGTAGCCAGGGTTACAGGTGTGAGCTACCTGTGCTCAGCCCCACCGCAACCTTTATTTCTTATTTCTCTTGCCCTTTCCAA